ATTTATCAGAAATATCGTCCGTTACACTGCACTGATCAACAGGGGATTGTTATAAATGTCTGAAATACACATATTATATAGACCAACTGACACACATGTTACAGACCTACTGATATGAGTCACAGCACACATAAACATTTCAGACATTTATAACGAACCCCAGTGCTCCGTCGCAAGATCACTCACTTCAAACGATATCAGTTTCACGCGTCTCGCAGCCACGGTTTCTCCAGTTTCTGATCACGACATGTCAAATAACGAGGCTGTTATAGAATCTACCGACTGTAGTCAGATTTCCATATAATCAACAAATACATTCACGTCTGGATTCTTCACAAAATGAGCAAAGAGAAACTTTCGGATTAACTTCCAAAAATAACTCCCTCGTGGAGGTCAAGGTCGGATTCACGGTGTTCACTGTTTTTATCCACTCGAAATTTGTTCCGTGTAAAAATCGGAACAATTTAAAATCCAACTTTCAGCTCAGATTTCTATTGATAAACTTAAATCACCCTATAGACATATCATACGCAATTGTATTGATACTAAATTGTGGAATAAAATTGAAGTGTTTGTTAAAATTTCAAAGTACTACTTTGTTTGCCAATCAGCACGCGACAATACGCTGTTCAAATTATTGAACGAAATTGTGTGAACTGTCGATAAGGCGGGCATTTTTAATTTTAAATATAAATTATAAGTTAAAAAAGAACATAAGAGGAAGAGAAAACGTAAATATAAGTATTGAACTGTTTTTGTATGGTATTTATGTTCTAGCGCGCATTACATTGTTTGCTTGCAAAGCTGTGTCATTCAACTAGATCATAAATACCATACAAATACAGTTCAATGCTTTAATATATACAACAATGTAGTATAAATGACGTGCTAATGCATGTACACTATCATATCACACACATAAACATACTGAAGAAGATCCATTTATAGATATACAGTCACGTCTGATTTTAACACGTGCTTACCGTATTTATAACATTTTGTGACGTCAGAATCAAGAAATAATCATGACGTCAAGTCAGTGTGACGTCATATAAAAGACTTTAGACATTTATGATGTCAAATAGGTGATATTAAAAACAGAGACAACAGTTTTCCTCAAATTATCCAACTTCATTCCTGGTAGTGCTTTAAAAGGGATCTTGAATTAATTTCCCTTTTAACAACGATTCATGAAAATACTTGACGTTTCCTTTTGCTCAACAGAGCTCAGCTGAAAAAATAAGAATTCTTGACACGTTTCATAAATATCATTTGAAATGAAAACTCAATAAAGATTTTCAATGTATTACATTTCGTCCTAGATAGTGCATAGCGTCTAGGGGTAGGTGAATGTATGATGGTTGTTTAATGTATAGCGTCTAGGGGTAGGTGAATGTATGATGGTTGTTTAATGTATAGCGTCTAGGGGTAGGTGAATGTATGATGGTTGTTTAATGTATAGCGTCTAGGGGTAGGTGAATGTATGATGGTTGTTTAATGTATAGCGTCTAGGGGTAGGTGAATGTATGATGGTTGTTTAATGTATAGCGTCTAGGGGTAGGTGAATGTATGATGGTTGTTTAATGTATAGCGTCTAGGGGTAGGTGAATGTATGATGGTTGTTTAATGTATAGCGTCTAGGGGTAGGTGAATGTATGATGGTTGTTTAATGTATAGCGTCTAGGGGTAGGTGAATGTATGATGGTTGTTTAATGTATAGCGTCTAGGGGTAGGTGAATGAGGAAATGTTTATACATAGGCAGAGTATGATGGTTGTTTAATGTATAGCGTCTAGGGGTAAGTGAATGAGGAAATGTTTATACATAGGCAGAGTATGATGGTTGTTTAATGTATAGCGTCTAGGGGTAGGTGAATGAGGAAATGTTTATACATAGGCAGAGTATGATGGTTGTTTAATGTATAGCGTCTAGGGGTAGGTGAATGAGGAAATGTTTATACATAGGCAGAGTATGATGGTTGTTTAATGTATAGCGTCTAGGGGTAGGTGAATGAGGAAATGTTTATACATAGGCAGAGTATGATGGTTGTTTAATGTATAGCGTCTAGGGGTAGGTGAATGAGGAAATGTTTATACATAGGCAGAGTATGATGGTTGTTTAATGTATAGCGTCTAGGGGTAGGTGAATGAGGAAATGTTTATACATAGGCAGAGTATGATGGTTGTTTAATGTATAGCGTCTAGGGGTAGGTGAATGAGGAAATGTTTATACATAGGCAGAGTATGATGGTTGTTTAATGTATAGCGTCTAGGGGTAGGTGAATGAGGAAATGTTTATACATAGGCAGAGTATGATGGTTGTTTAATGTATAGCGTCTAGGGGTAGGTGAATGAGGAAATGTTTATACATAGGCAGAGTATGATGGTTGTTTAATGTATAGCGTCTAGGGGTAGGTGAATGAGGAAATGTTTATACATAGGCAGAGTATGATGGTTGTTTAATGTATAGCGTCTAGGGGTAGGTGAATGAGGAAATGTTTATACATAGGCAGAGTATGATGGTTGTTTAATGTATAGCGTCTAGGGGTAGGTGAATGAGGAAATGTTTATACATAGGCAGAGTATGATGGTTGTTTAATGTATAGCGTCTAGGGGTAGGTGAATGAGGAAATGTTTATACATAGGCAGAGTATGATGGTTGTTTAATGTATAGCGTCTAGGGGTAGGTGAATGAGGAAATGTTTATACATAGGCAGAGTATGATGGTTGTTTAATGTATAGCGTCTAGGGGTAGGTGAATGAGGAAATGTTTATATATAGGCAGAGTATGATGGTTGTATAATGTATAGCGTCTAGGGGTAGGTGAATGAGGAAATGTTTATACATAGGCAGAGTATGATGGTTGTATAATCTATACCTAACCTCTGCATGTGTAGATTATGAAGATATCTCGTGCTAGCATGTATGCTCTGTAAGTGAGTGTGTGTGTGTGTGTTGCTTTTCTTGATTATATGTATTATGAAAAAATCGTCGAAAAATAAAAATTACAAAAAAACCCATTTCAATTCTATAAACGAACTATGGTAGCGATAAAAAAAACTCATTACTTTCACTCCACAGAAATCATGCTGATCTTTACCATGACATGGCGGTGTACTTAAATACGACTGCGTAAACAGAGACGTACTTAAATGATATTCTATACAACTCAAACAAACCTGTATACACTGTATATTCTGAGAGTTTTAAGTCATCCTTTCTATTGAACTTGAAATGTTATCAACGTACCGAGGTATATTTTCACTTACTGTAGAAATCGTTCGCCGTCATGTCAAACGTTGCCTGATTCACAACTCTCTTTGCGAGAATAATCTTTAATATTTTCCGGCAAAACATTTAATACAGTGCCAACTAGCTGTTATACTGTGAATTTAATACTTTGTATACAATGAAGAATCGTCTAGATCAGATTTATATTATAATATAATATATGAATATAATATGTCGAGTATGACTGACGGGCGAAACACCCACGATGACGGAATAGCTCACCAAACAACAGAACATAGACACGGGTCAGTTGGTCAGATATTCATACGAAATTATACACTGTACATAAACGGCCTCTTACACGAGCTAATTTTCATCTAGGATTGAATTTGTTCATTGAGATAAGTTATTTTAAATGGGGTATAGAATATAAACAGCTGTCTCCTACGTGTTGGTGTATATGATAGCGTAACGAGTTTTCAATATAACCTGTATTTCGATCGCATACACCCTTAATCCGTTAATCGGGTCACAACTAATCCAGTTAACCCATTGTCCCGTCAGTGATTTAGGGGACAGTTGGCCAAAATTAATATATCAACCCCACAATCTGGTCACTTTTGATTGGGAATTGTCTTCTATGAAAATAATATATGTTGTCACGAAAGTCACACTCTCTTGGCACAAAATAAGCATATATACCTATATTAACTTTATTTATTTTACAATAACTATGTAAAAAAAGGAACAAATAGACAATATGAATTTGCCAATATTTTTAGATACTTGTTAAATGATTACACTGGGAAAGACAATAGCACGTCCCATTCAATAAATTAAAACTCACTTGATGTTCACGAACGTTCTTCCGGCGAAACATTCCCGAAAGAATTTAACACAGGAAAGATATAATACACGTTCAATGTTCCATATTTGTTTGTGTCTGAATACATTTTTTAAGATATTCAAACCGCAGAATCGTCTTGCCTCGTAAATTAACTTAAACAAACAAATATTACGAAATATACAGGACTGACATAAGTAAAAACTCATTAAAGTGTCACCTTTTAATCTATATTTCTCATACCAAATTTGATTATTTCAAATCTAACAATCCTAAGTATGCGTCCTATATCTGAATCATACCATAACGTAGGAATATATTGTCAGTGGTTCTTAATAACAAAATTGATACAGAAATATAAACTAAAAGAAAAACGGAAGACTTACATTCATGTTGGGGTAGTCCGTATCTTCGAGATATCCACAATGTTTAGGAAAGTCTTCAACTTTCACTTTAAATATCCAAACTAATTTAAATATCACAAACTTTGATATATATTCCTGTATAGCCAAGTAAATATACCACCTACTTACGATAACTTAGAGTCAGCCTATAATATGATACGTCATTAGAGGTCGCAAGTGGAACGAGAACATTGTGTACAGGTAACAAAAGACAGGTATATTAAAAATTCATATACTTAATAACACTTTATACAGAACAAATATAAAGCTAGGCTATGTGAAGGCTACCCAACATCAGGTGTATATAATAATACATTGTACATGTACCTATAACAATTACGCTAAGCTCCTGACGTGTATTCGTACAGGTAAATGTGAAGTAAGCCGGCGTGGGCTCTACGTAATCCACCTGAATATTTATTCAATTACGTATAATACAAATGGATTTCATTAATGCTTTACTTATAAATGGAGTTCGGTCTGGGACGTGTCAGCTGGCAAATTAATCTTGTTCATAAAAACGGAAAACCATTTAATATAGGGTATTTAATGTGAGAAAGTCGACTTATGATACGTTAGTCGTCTTTAATGTCGTGGCAACTAACACGGGTGTGATATTGTAAACATTGATGCACAAGACTCCCTTTCAAAACACAGATTTTCATACCTTTTGACGCTTTCTTTAAAGATTGATTGATTACGTTTAATTTCCTTGCAACAGACAAGGTTAAGATACTTTAGTGTCCGCATACGGGGTCATTTAAAGTGCCTCTTCGGTGAAAACAACAGCCGTAACACGTAATATGGCAGACTTTTCTCCATTTATGACGACCCTTGGTTTTCTATCAAATAAAAATCAGCTATCCATGAAGAGCACCTCCCCGACATTCAATATTTTGCTAGTTTATGGATTAGGTGTTGATGAGAAACGTCATCAAATGCTTTCATAACATCACAAAACAATAACATTGACACACCCACCTTTATCCAAATGTCCTGCCCATTCATCAATAACATATTTAGAAGTTGTAACACAGTAGAACTGCTTTCAATGTTTTCATTTTCTTAAGCAAATATAATTAATGTAACGTTCTCAAAACCAGGACCGGGGTTGTTACAGCAAATTAATGAAAATAATCAAAAACATATACCTTCATATCACACAATGAAAAAACATATTATTTTCTATGAGATAGTAATGAAGACATAATACTTGTTCATTTTTTTCCATCAACCTACATCTCAAATACGGTAGTACTTCATGATCATTGCTGAAAAATCCTTCATTTTTTGTCAGCATCTAATTCTAGTTTCAGCACTGGACCGCTTTTTAAAAGAAAAGATGACTTATGTCAGTATCCCCTGTAATATATTTATCGATTTTTTTCAATAATATAATTCAACATATACAGTTACTCAACTTACAAACATATTTGAAATTGTCAATATGTAAATTATTCCATCTTGCTTAGTTCCGTTTTACTTAAATTTAGTTAAATGTTATTTGTTCAAAACCGCACATTCATTTAAAAGACATTCAACAAAATGATTTAGAAAAAAGCAATCTCATTTTGCATAATATGGCGTAAAATTGTTTTGATGTTTTCGTGTTTAAACAATTGGCCGCAACCAATTTGGCAACGGATTTTTAGCTCGATCGATAGTATGTCATGGCTCTGGGTTCGATTCCTAACAGAGGCATTCAAACATAATAACCACTGTAACATATTTACATTGATTATGTCTGTATAATGTATTTAAGCATATATTTACATAGAACGTACTCTGTGTGATCGGTGTATGTAATGGTCTAACTATTTACTAGGGATGATATATTTACATAGAACGTACTCTGTGTGATCGGTGTATGTAATGGTCTAACTATTTACTAGGCATGATATATTTACATAGCACGTACTCTGTGCGATCGGTGTATGTTATGGTCTAACTATTTACTAGGGATGATATATTTACATAGAACGTACTCTGTGTGATCGGTGTATGTAATGGTCAAACTATTTACTAGGCATGATATATTTACATAGCACGTACTGTGTGCGATCGGTGTATGTTATGGTCTAACTATTTACTAGGGATGATATATTTACATAGCACGTGCTCTGTGTGATCGGTGTATGTCATGGTCTAACTATGTACTAGGGAGGATATATTTACATAGAACGTACTCTGTGTGATCTGTGTATGTAATGGTCTAACTATTTACTAGGGATGATACATTTACATAGAACGTACTCTGTGTGATCGGTATATGTCATGGTCTAACTATTTACTAGGGATGATATATTTACATAGCACGTACTCTGTGTGATCGGTGTATGTCATGGTCTAATTATTTACTAGGGATGATATATTTACATAGAACGAACTCTGTGTGATCGGTGTATGTAATGGTCTAACTATGTACTAGGGATGATATATTTACATAGAACGTACTCTGTGTGATTGGTGTATGTCATGGTCTAACTATTTACTAGGGACGATACATTTACATAGAACGTACTCTGTGTGATCGGTGTATGTGATGGTCTAACTATTTACTAGGGATAATATATTTACATAGAACGTACTCTGTGTGATCGGTGTATGTGATGGTCTAACTATTTACTAGGGATGATATATTTACATAGCCCGTACTCTGTGTGATCGGTGTATGTCATGGTCTAATTATTTACTAGGGATGATATATTTACATAGAACGAACTCTGTGTGATCGGTGTATGTAATGGTCTAACTATTTACTAGGGATGATATATTTACATAGAGCGTACTCTGTGTGATCGGTGTATGTGATGGTCTAACTATTTACTAGGGATAATATATTTACATAGAACGTACTCTGTGTGATCGGTGTATGCAATGGTCTAACTATTTACTAAGGATGATATATTTACATAGAACGTACTCTGTGTGATTGGTGTATGTCATGGTCTAACTATTTACTAGGGACGATACATTTACATAGAACGTACTCTGTGTGATCGGTATATGTCATGGTCTAACTATTTACTAGGGATGATACATTTACATAGAACGTACTCTGTGTGATCGGTATATGTCATGGTCTAACTATTTACTAGGGATGATATATTTACATAGCACGTGCTCTGTGTGATCGGTGTATGTCATGGTCTAACTATTGACTAGGGATGATATATTTACATAGAACGTCCTCTGTGTGATCGGTGTATGTCATGGTCTAACTATGTACTAGGGATGATATATTTACATAGAACGTACTCTGTGTGATTGGTGTATGTCATGGTCTAACTATTTACTAGGGACGATACATTTACATAGAACGTACTCTGTGTGATCGGTATATGTCATGGTCTAACTATTTACTAGGGATGATATATTTACAAAGAACGTACTCTGTGTGATCGGTGTATGTAATGGTCCAACTATTTACTAGGGATGATATATTTACATAGAGCGTACTCTGTGTGATCGGTGTATGTGATGGTCTAACTATTTACTAGGGATGATATATTTACATAGAGCGTACTCTGTGTGATCGGTGTATGTGATGGTCTAACTATTTACTAGGGATGATATATTTACATAGCACGTACTCTGTGTGATCGGTGTATGTAATGGTCTACCTATTTACTAGGGATGATATATTTACATAGAACGAACTCTGTGTGATCGGTGTATGTAATGGTCTAACTATTTACTAGGGATGATACATTTACATAGAACGTACTCTGTGTGATCGGTATATGTCATGGTCTAACTATTTACTAGGGATGATACATTTACATAGAACGTACTCTGTGTGATCGGTGTATGCAATGGTCTAACTATTTACTAAGGATGATATATTTACATAGAACGTACTCTGTGTGATTGGTGTATGTCATGGTCTAACTATTTACTAGGGACGATACATTTACATAGAACGTACTCTGTGTGATCGGTATATGTCATGGTCTAACTATTTACTAGGGATGATACATTTACATAGAACGTACTCTGTGTGATCGGTATATGTCATGGTCTAACTATTTACTAGGGATGATATATTTACAAAGAACGTACTCTGTGTGATCGGTGTATGTAATGGTCCAACTATTTACTAGGGATGATATATTTACATAGAGCGTACTCTGTGTGATCGGTGTATGTGATGGTCTAACTATTTACTAGGGATAATATATTTACATAGAACGTACTCTGTGTGATCGGTGTATGTAATGGTCTACCTATTTACTAGGGATGATATATTTACATAGAACGAACTCTGTGTGATCGGTGTATGTAATGGTCTAACTATTTACTAGGCGTGATATATTTACATAGCACGTACTCTGTGCGATCGGTGTATGTTATGGTCTAACTATTTACTAGGGATGATATATTTACATAGCCCGTACTCTGTGTGATCGGTGTATGTCATGGTCTAATTATTTACTAGGGATGATATATTTACATAGAACGTCCTCTGTGTGATCGGTGTATGTCATGGTCTAACTATTTACTAGGGATGATATATTTTGTTTTGAATATGTTGGATACATCATTCCATTGCAGCGTCTTTGATAATGTATCGTGTTCAGGCTAGACTTATTCCAATTTCAATTTAAATAAAAACATGAATCGAATTATCATAACTTTACATTAAGCTCCATACTGATCGAGTGCATGTTTTTTGTTGATTTTTTTTATTATAAAAGGACAATGGTCTATAGATGGAATGAGAACGACGTTGACATTTATCCTTAAAATTCGCTAAACGAAATAAATTTTAATTGCACTTCTAGTGATAATTAAAGCTGGAAAAAAATCAGACGAAACACTTACAGTTGTATCATTGCCATTAACTTGTGACGTCATAATATTGTTCTTTTGTGACGCAATAATGAATGGTAAAACACCAAATAGCAGTAAGAGTAAATAAACACAATTTCTATTAAACACGTATTCTCACCTCTAGAACTCCAGCCAATCCTTATTAGTAAGCAAGGATCCTTCCTTTGGTGTACAACACAGTCAGATGAACACTGAACACATCTGGAGAAGAAGGGATACTTTTTATATGTACAGTATCATTAAATGAGCTCAATAGGCGGGGTTATTAATGTACATATCATTCAGTCGACCATGTGAATATAGATTTCTGTCTATCGTGTCATTCAGTCATTGAAACAAACTTAGCTAAAACGACGCTGAAATTGATTTTCCCAGTTAATGTTTAAAGTGATTGTCAACACGATTTCCCTTCCAGACTTGAAAGTGGTAAGTAGGAGGTTCCATTAAAATGTTAGC